AAAGGTTTCCCAGAGGCTCGCAAATTGAATTTCGCACTAAGCTCGGCTTCCGTTTTCCACTTGCCCGATACTCGCGCACGGTAGTCCACGTCAACATCTACAGTAAAAATGCGATAAAAACGAACTGCATGCGAGCATCAAATTGCATATGTGTAAGGCAGATACGAGTTAGCTAACTAACGAACCAGCAAGTGAGTTTTCCCAACTGTCTTGTTGAGAATTTACGAACTATCGAATGTGCGAAGCGGCGAATTGAGCGTGTACGGGCAGGGACAACTAGCTGGTGGGCGAAGCGACGTGTGGGCAAGACTAACGAGTTGGTAGATGGTAAGCTAACAAGTTGACGAACTAGCGAGTGTGTGAAGCGGCGAGTGAGCGAGCTAGTGGCCGAATTGACGAGTTGACAAAACTAACGAGTCACTAAGCTAACGAGAGTTGACAAAAATAGCGAGTTATTAAGCTAACGAGTTGAGAAACAAGCGAGTCGGGAAGCTAACGAGTGGACAAACTAGCGAGTCTGTGAAACGGCGAGTTGAGCGATTGCTGGCAAGGTCAACTAGCTAATGTTAGAGTTATTTAATTAACTAGTTATGAAACTAGCAACTAGCATATTGGCAAAACTAACGAGCCGGCAAATTAATGATAAGGAAAACTAAAGATAAAGGAAGATAAGACAATATTTTAACTGGTGAGTTAGCAAACTAACGAGTAGTTGATTTAACGAGTGTAGAGTTGGTAAACTAGCGAGTGGAAGATTTAACGAGTTGGCAAACAAGCGACTGAGCTAATTAGGGATTATCTAGCTTGGTGGAAATGATTAAAAAATAACTATTTCAACTGCGAACTGTGAGCACCTAAGTGATCTTCACTGTAGTTGGTAAACAGTGCGGCCGAGAAGAAGGCGAAGCAGAAGGAGTTTGGGGAGGAGCAAAAGCAATGCAATTATGAGATGCACAAGCTACTTGGTAACAACATATTGATAATTAAAGAGATGGGCCGAGGGCTCATCAAAGCTCTTCCCGTTGGCGAGGCGACGTTGACAAATGAGTTCATCAGCAGCTCCTTTGGTCAAGCGGCAGCAGATGCTAATACAGACAGCGAGACAGAGAGAGAGATAGAGAGAGTGTGAGTGTGAGTGTGAGAGAGGGACGGTGAATTAGTTTTTAAGTGAAAAGCGATTTATTTTCGCCATTTGCGCCGTGAGGTCGTTTAATAAACAATTTAATAGCGCGCATAAATTTCAGACATCATATAATAAACCCATTTGTCTTGGGAGGGGAAGCAACTGTTAAGCCTAAAGACCTTATGCACATGCCAAGACAACGGCTCGAGGTTATTAAATTATGTGGCTCAAGCGTAAAAATAAACCGTAGCAAATGTAGGACGAGCCACAGCGAGAGAGAGAGAGACAGAGGGAGAGAGGGCCTGTTTAACGAGCCCTAATGGAACCCCAAGAGTTCGACCTCATAGCCAAGACGAGCCGCTCCGACTCCACGCGCTCTCGCCGTTGACTTTCTCCCCGAAAAAATTAGACGCGAGTCGGCTTCAATTAATCAGAGATATTCGAATAAATCAAGTGCCATAAAAGTGACACAGCGTGAGATACTCAAGGGAGCTGGAGATGGAGATGGCACCACACCAGGCTGTATGGCCAGGCACAAAAGATGAATATTTAATTAGGAACAAATTAAGAATGCAAATAATGCGGAACTACCGTGGAGAGGGCGTTGCTCGATTGAACTGCGACTCGGCCGGCAACTGAGTCGATATTATTAATCGATAGACCTTATATAATTAAAGGGCATACAACAAAGCACAGCTCCAATCATCTGCCGGCGGGACGTCCCATCTAATTGCTGGGGAATCCGAAAACTTGAATTTTTCTATAAAAAGTTCTGCTTTTTGATCCGTTGAGCGCGTGCTGCCCCCAGACAGCTATCAGATTTGCCACAGTCCCAAGATTACGCTACAGTTTTGTTGTCTTTCGATTCTTATCGGAACTTTTGTCGAACTCGAAATTCCCTTCAAATGTTGCCGCTTTGGAAGCGAAATTGGTATCTAAAATTTTGGGGACACAAATTGGTAACGATGTCATCGGAACTGATCGTTTATATATTTATTTCTAGCGTAAAACAAGTAACCCATTGAATATAATTGAATATGATTGACGTGCGTTTAGTCGGTAATTTTTATAGATTTTCCATAGATAAGCCACAATTAAAAATGTCCCCAACTCAAGTTGTCATGGCTTGGCCCACGATTCGAACCAAGGCTTTCCTTTTGGGTTTGATTCGCGAACCAGGTTTCCACCTCCATGAGCCTTGGGTTTGGTTTGAACCTTAATACGCCTTATTGATTTAAATTTCAATAAAATAATTTAGATTATATTATATATATATTATATTTGCCTATTAGTAGAAATTACCCGGCCTTGTCCGGATCATGCCCATGTTAAGAAAACAGACATTTTCCTATATAAAATATCTTCCATATTCTCGGTTGTACGAATCATTAACTCCTAAAAGCTTTGCTGGGTTTGAACCAGCGTATATCCCCACGTTCCAGGTTCAAACCCGGCTTGCAGCTTTGTCAAAAGCCGCTTTCAAAGCATGACAGCCATGAGATTTTTGTGATTTTAATTGGTCTAAACTTGGCCATAATTTCATAAAATAAATTATCTTCCATATTCTCGATTGTTTCAATAATTAACGCCAAAAGGATTTACTGGGTTTGAGCCGGCGACTTGCCCCAGGTTCCTAGTTCAAACCTTGCTTGTGAACCTATGTGAAAAGCCACTTTCAAAGCATGACAGTCGTGAGATTTTTGTGATTTTAATTGGTCTAAACTTGGCCATAATTTCATTAGATCATTAGCTCCTACGACTTTGGCATTCTACAGTTGCCTTTATGGAGCTGACATTTAGCGGGAAGCAGCCGCAGGTGATGGGGCTTCCTGGGAAGCAAACGCTGAACAACTTAATTAAGAACAGGGCAGGGCATTGGCAGAAGCAAATCAAACAGGAAAGGGGGCGACTTTGTGATTGGAATCGCAGGCATCAAGCAATTTGTATGCGGCCATCAGACAGCAACAAGTCATTTCACACTTTGATCACGCTGCACGCTGATCAACTGCAGCTGCAGCAGCCGGAGCAACAGGACCTATGGCCACATATCCATAAAAGGATGCCACAAACACAACTCTGGAATGTGCCTGGCTGCCTGCCTCATGCCCCATGCCCCATGCCCCATGCATATATTAAGCAACCAGTCGCAACAGTCGAACAGTCGCCCGCGCAACGTTGCAGAACTGCGGTCGCAGTCAGAGTCCGAGTCGGAGTCGGAGTCGTAGGCACCTTCACAGTAATTAACTTGTTTCAATAATTACGCATGCGCATTTGCACATGTTCCAATACCTTGCTCCATGGCCAGTTCGAATGCGCACCATTCGGCTGCCTGTTGCCAGCTCTTAACAAGATTTTTGCATTGCGTGCGCATTCAAAAGTGAACAACAGCCTCCGTTTCTCCAAATGCCCTAACAACGGCTAACTTCCTTTTCCAATTGTATTTGACTGCCCCGTCGAAATCCATTCTATTAACATTCGATCGAGGGTGATCCCAAGGTTTTCAGACCAAGACTAGACGGTTTCAAGGAATATGGATTTAGCATGGTTGTTAACTCGTCCGCTAAGCAAATGCTTAGATTGTGAAATCCATATTATAAATATTCTTGTTTAGCTGTCGTCGCAGTCGACCTTAGAAACGAGGGTGATCCCAAGGTTTCCCGACCAAGACTAGACGGTTTCAAGGAATATGGATTTAGCAAGGTTGTTACCTCGTCCGCTTAGCCAATGCTTACTTTGCCTATGTCAGGCAATGCCACAATTTAGATATCATTATCGAACTTCCAAGAATAATATTACACTGGCTTTTGTTACGTTCGCCTAAAGTTGATATACTCGAGAGCAATGCCGAATTCCGACTGATTCCGTAAGGAATTCTCGATGATAACACTCGATTGACTATATTATTTCCAACACTTGCATGAAATCTTCCTCGATTCTTACAGATTTCCAATAAAATTTTTGATGTAGATATTCAAGAGTCACTTTTCAAAACTTCCTGAGAATCTTTTTAAAGCTTAAGACGACTTTCATAAGGATGGCAAGAGCTTAAAGTTAGCTTCTCAGTATCTACTGACGTCGAATAGAAGAAACCTTCGATTAAATTCAGGAAATTTATTCAATCGACTTTTAATAATTATATTAGGTAACATCTTTAAACATAATTCGTTCAAAGAGAGATTTCTGAAAGGATGCTAGAGCAGAACTAAGTCACGAATAATTTTTAAGTGCTTCTGCAAACCGCAGATTTTCGAGAACACGATTTCTATAAACATTATCTAAACAGGAATTCCAAGGGAATTGATGAGCAACTGTTATTCCATTGGGGATATTAAAAAATTTCTAGGCATATTTCCATAGTTCATGTCATCCGCAGAGCATATAGAGTTCGTTGCTGTCAATTGCATATGGACTTCTCCTGTTTTTGGGTGGAAATTTATGCAGCAGACGCCGCTTATTAAGCAGCCCATGTCCCGGCTCCATCAACTGTCCACATGTCCATGTCGCATGTCCGTTCCGTCCGTCCGTCCGTCCGTCCGTCCGTCCGTCCGCCCGTCCGTGCAGTTGGCCCGTTGTCCGCTGAGGTGGCAGCGGCACTTAATTATTGATAGCATTACAAACGCAGGTTCACTGGGTCACAGCTTGTTGCACGTCCACGTCGAGCCAACCCATGTCCCTTTTGTGTTTTTTTTTTCACCCGGTTGAGATCTCCATTTGGCGCACTGTAAAGAATTTTACTTTATTCGGGCAGCAAATCAACAGGAATTTGGTACACAACCACAAAAGAAAAGACACAAACACACAAAATATAGTAGGGATACGGTTGAGAGAGAGGTGAGGTGAGCTGTATGGTGGGGGGGGGGGGGGGAGTGTTAGGGGACATTCTATAACTGACTGCTGTCGATATCCTGCACAGTGACATCCTCCATGCCGGGTATGCTCTGGACCGCCTGGTTCATCTCCTCGGCCTTACTCATGCCGCCCATGCCCATTCCTCCCATGCCCATTCCGCCCATTCCGCCCATGCCCATGTCGCCCATTCCGCCCATGCCGCCCATGCCGCCCAGCGCAGACAGAGCCTCCATGCCGCCCATGCCGCCTAGATCCAAGTTGCCCAGCGCTTCCTCCAGCGCACCACCGCCGCCATCTGCCAGAGCACCCAAAGCATCATGATTGCGCACCTCTGTGATCACGACCTCGGTGGTGCTCAACAGGGATGCGACGCCCGCGGCATCCTGTATGGCGGTGCGCACCACCTTGGTGGGATCAATGATTCCCTTGTCGAAGAGCCTGCCATATTCGCCCTTCATGGCATCATAGCCAAAGTCGCCCTCGCCGTTGAGCACCCGGGCCACCACGGTGGCCGCATCGACGCCAGCATTTCGGGCAATGGTCATGCAGGGCATGCGCATGGCCGAGCAGACAATGTTGATGCCATGCTTCAAATCCTCGTTGTCCGGCTCCAGGAGCTGCAGGCCGGCTATGCAGCGCAGCAGGGCGGTGCCGCCGCCGGGCACAATGCCCTCCTCGATGGCGGCCCGTGTGGCGTTGAGGGCATCATTGACACGATCCCGCTTCTCGCCGACCTCCACCTCACTTGTGCCGCCGATGTGGATGACAGCGACGCCGTTGGTGAGCACCGAGATGCGCGCCCGAAGGCGTTCCTTCTGCTCGGGCTTGGTGGCCGGATCGCGCAGTTCATCCTCGAGCTCCTGGATGCGACGCTTCAGCAGCTCCGGCTTGCCCTGACTCTGCAGCAGCATGGTCGAGTCCTTGGTGACCACGACCTCGCCCACCTGGCCAAAGTCCTCGATCTTGGCCTCCTCAATCTTGGCATAGTTGATGTCATCCCCAAACACCGTTGCGCCCGTCGCGGCGGCAATGTCGCCCAGCATCGCCTTGCGGTACTCGCCATAGGCGGGCGCCTTGACGGCGCACACCTGCAGACCCACCTTGAGGCGATTGAGCACCAGAGCGTTCAAGGCCTCGCCATCAATGTCCTCGGCAATGATGAGCAGCGGGCGACGTTGGCGCAGCGACTGCTCCAAGCCGCGCACAATTTGCTTGAGGGATTTAATCTTCTTGAGCGTGATCAGCACGTACGCATTGGCATACTCTACCTTGGCTCCTTTGGGCGTGTTCACAAAGAACGGCGAGATGTAGCCCTTGTCGAACTGCAGGCCTTGGAGCACCTCCAGCTCGTCCTTGAGCCGCTTGCCGTCCTTGACGGTAATGGTGCCCGTCCGGCCCACCCGATCCGTTGCGTCCGCAATCAGGCGTCCGATCTCGGCATCGCCATTCGCCGATATTGTGGCCACCTGTTCGATCTCCGCGCGCGTCTTCACCGGACGCGACATTGCCTTCAGCTGCCGTTTGACATGGTCGACGGCCAGCATGACGCCGCGCCGAATCTCGATGGGATTGGCGCCCCGCGTTATATGCTGGAAGCCCTCCTTGGCAATGCAGCGGGCCAGCACCGTGGCCGTTGTGGTGCCATCTCCGGCCGCCTGATTTGTATTATCCGCCACATCCTGGACCAGGCGTGCGCCCAGCTGCATGTGCTGATCCTTTAGCGAAATGGCGCGCGCCACCGAGACGCCATCCTTGGTGATCTTGGGCGATGTCCAGGGTCGCTCCAATATAACGCTGCGTCCCTTGGGCCCCATCGTCACGGCCACCGCATCCGTCAGCATATCGACGCCGCGCAACATTCTCGCCCGAGCCTCGGCACCGAACGCCACATCCTTGGAATAGGCACGGGCAAATGCCCGGCTGGAGCGAAACGCCTCACGTACGTACGAACGGAACATATTTGAATTGGTTTTTTTTATGTGTTTTTGTTTTTTGTTTTTGTTTTTGTGAATCGTTCCAATACTTTTGTGAACGAGCAAAATATATATATATATATATATATGTGTGTATATATATTTATTTTTGAACTTATGCTAGCACCGACTCTCTCTCCTTGAACACGATAACTGAGAATGCGTGCGGGCCCATCTCCACATGGAACATCGGGGACATCCCAGGCTTAGCCTACTTGCAGCAGCTGCTGAAAACTTGGAAAACTTAGGAATACTTGGAAAATGAGAATAGAAACTTACGCACTTTTCCAATTAATTTCATTTCCGTTTCGTAGCTGGTGCCCAGGAACACATGTTCCAATCTTCAAAAGGTAGCGAAAACATAGAATCAATAATTAAGAAATGTCAAACATAAAACGAGAGGCCCGCTCCATACGATAAGGCCGAGCAGCTGTGGCCTGGGCGGGGGGGGGGCGGGCGGGCCAAGGTTGTGCGGGTGTTGTGTTATTTCGTATCGCTAACCTTTTTCTAGTTTTTGTGGAGCTCGCGTGACAAATCATAATTGATTGTTCGCTTAATTGAATTGGAGGCTGATAAGTGCCCGCCCCCCCTTCCCCCTGAAGAGAGAGGGAGAGAGAGAGCCGCATGCCACCCAAATGGAGGCAGACATGACTCACGTGATCCCGTAACTAACTACAAATGGCTGACACAAGTTCGAACACGCTAATAAATTGTTAATGGTTTTATCACAGCTTTGGAGTTTACGATATCACCTAATTCCTACAGTCAACAACAGCAACAACGATCGTCATAAATCGACCAAAAGAACCGAAAAGAACCACACACTCACAAAAACAAACACAAACCTATAATATCTACCGAAACATATGCTGGGGACTAATAGATAAGCGGCGTTTGCCCCCGGCAGGCGCTCTGCGCATTAGTCACACATTAAAGTGCTGACTGGGGAATGGGGCTGGCACTGGCTTTTTCAGCGGTTAGCCAAAAACAGCTGCAAGTACAGTGCTTGCTAGAAAATTAATGCCAGTATAATGTTGACAATAATTCAAATTGTTGTGGGGTTTATTTTCCTAGAAAATTATTGAATAGAAAAGTGTGTGATATTTGCTTAATATTTTTAGGCTCGCAGAGGTTATCATCTTAGAAATAACTCAATTTTCAACCGATTGCGCCTCTGTTCGAGGCTTAAGAGGTTTAAGTCATTTGTTGGCTCGTAATTCTTGAGTCTAAATACGTTATCTTGAATAGAATATAAAGCTTTACCTTTAAGAACTATATTTTTCCCGAATGTTCTCAGGGATGTTAAATGACATTGTTGCTTATAAGATGTTTGATTATAATTTAATACCAAATCTGAGGTATAGTGTTGTAAAACGAAGGATATCAACTAATAATTCAACTATCAATAGTATATATTGCGCTCTATACTCTATGCAAATTCCAAGATAAATATTAGATCATAATCTAATAGAAAATCAAGGGAATAGTGTTGTAAGACTCACAAATTTACAAGAAATCTTATTATTGTTTTCGAAGAACACTCAGGATTAAAAAAATAGAAAAAATAATATTTCACAAAAAAATATCTAAAATGTTTTCAAAGAACACCAAAGATTTTAGTTGAATATTTTTATGCTATCTACATTATATTGTATTGCGATTCTGATTCTGTTCTGATTTAAGTCGTGGTATTTATTGCAGTTAAATAAAGCATGTGTACTAATTTTCAAGAAGAAAGCTTCATTGGGAGCTTAGTTTGCATAGGTAAAAAAAGATATAGCCAAGTATATGGACGCGACTCGTCGTACTACCCAAGAGTATATCGACTTTATCGTATTAATAATTGGTCTATCTGTCGCAATTCGAGAAAAACTGAAAGATTACAAAAATTAAAGAACACCTTTAAGTTTATTGTAGATAGACTTTTATATAACTTTTTTAAATATTTAATCATTCAACTTATTATAATAATTTTTTCAAAAATTATAGAAAAATCCAAATATTCATTGGTTACACTTTGCGAGCGAGCACTGTAGCTGGTTGGGCTCCTGCATAAGGATCGCCTGTCAGCGACAGAATCAACTCATCAACGTTGACAGCGGCAGCGGCAGCGGCCTTAATGGGGACTTGTGGCTGTGGCTACCTAAATAGTTAGTTAGCTGGCGAATGGTCAGCAGTGCAATTGACGCGTGATTGGCATGCAGGCCTGTCATCCATCCGTCGAACCGTTTCCACATGCAGCATCCGAACCAAAAATAGGCACGAAACGAGTTGCCAGCGCGCGTTTCTGTCGAAGAAGAGTTCTCGGTTTTATTAAGGTGTCAGCTACTTGGTATGGATCGTATGCCATGGCAGGGTATATTGTATGCCACGGCATGGCTGGGCATAGCATGGCATGGCATGATATGGTCCGGCAACGTACGGCACTCAATTTAGCGAATGCATATTTTAAATTAATATTATTAACAGTTTGACCAAAACTGAACGCCAAGACTTGCCAACTGTAATTCCTAATTGGCTGCCAGTTGATTTAGTTGATTGCATTGGTTTTCCATTTCGCGCCGTCGGCTTTACCTGGTCGCATCTCTCTCTCAGAGTCGGAGCCCAATCGTATCTAATATCGAATTTCGTATTTGTTTAGTAGCAAATTGCAGTGGCAACACCTGCCGCAATTGCCGCTCTCTTACCTGCAGCCCTATCAAGTTGCGCTCGCTTCCACTCTCTCTCTCTCTCTCTCGCTCGCTCGCTCTGAAGCGCCGCCCACTTTGCGCTGCGCTGTTGGCCAATCAGCGCAACGCTTGCTCAGCGCAGCGAAGAGAGTCGCTTTAAGTGTGTGTGTGTGTGTCTGTGAGTGTGTGTGAGTGTGAGTGTGTGTGTTTGAGCTGTGGTGTTGGTTTGGTGTTGTGTCGTCGACAGGCAATTTACATGAAATCAAAATGAAACGTAATTTTAATGAAGGCAGAAGGTTTAGGGCATATGCGACCTACAAATGCACTGCATGAAAAAAAGTCAGAAAGCGAGAGAGATAGAGAGAGAGAGAGAGAGTAGGAGAGCGAGAGCAAGAGTGCTATTATAGTATTACGAGTACCTTGGTTTATCCGAACATTTCCAATTCAAAAGAAACAATTTATATTTTTATATTTAAAAATATTTATTTATATAAATACAAAAAATACTAAAAAGGGTTTTAGAAACAAAATAATTTTGCGATTCCGCTTTGATTATAATTATATTAATTAGAATTTTCCAGAGATTTGCATCACTTTTGTATAAAATATGAAAACAAATTTGGTTTTCGAATCCCATTTCCGTTAACTATTCATTGTTAGTATAGATATATTCGTTTTACAACACAGGTAGCTAAATTGTTAGTAATATCTTTCGTTTTACAACACTGTACTCGTCATTTCTTATTAGATTATATTCAAAGAATAACTTCAATTTATCTTAGAATTCGCATAGCGTATATAGCGCAAAATTTACTCGATGCGTAAAATTTATTAGATCATAATCAACAATAATATTTATCTTATATTTTTAATTTACTACATATAGTCAAACGGTTAGTTAACTCTTTCGTTTTGCAACACTATATTATATTTCTTATTAGCATCTTATTGAACAACTTTAACTTACAGCTAACTTATAATTCGAATATCCCATCTTTTCCCAGCTGCTTTCTGTTTTCATGAACTCTAGACAAACTCAAGCTGCAGCCAAATATGCTCAGTTTCTGGTTAGTGTAGGTTAGGGCATGGTTGGATAGTGTTGTGCAGTGCCTGGCAGGGCAGGCGCGGACTACACCTTCGAGCGCGCCACTCAAGTTTTGTTTACTTAAACTTTTACCATTTGGGGCTAGTGTAAAGTGGCCAAAAGCGTTCTGTGTGTGTGTGTGGGTGTGCGTGTGAGTGGGTGTGTGTGTGCAGACCAACTGAAACGTAACTGCAAATGCACAGAAGTGCGGAGCTGTCTCTCTGGTAGAGGTCTCGGTCTCTGGTATTTTATGTTGCCATTGATGGTCGGGCGAAAGATTTTTGTTGTTTTTGTTTTTTTTTTGATTGTTTTTTAAATTGTTTTTGCACGCGATTCGTGTTTGGCGGCTTTATTGCTGTAATTGCCATTACCAATTGTTGTTGTTGTTGTTGTTGTTGTTGTTGCAGCTACATAATTTAATTTGAATGCATATGCAAGCCAAAGTGGGTAATTGAATAAGTTTCCTTTTTCTCCAGTTTGCATTTTAGTTCTTCTTCTTGTCACAGTTTTGTATTTTATTTTGTTTGCATTATTTTCTATAAATTTGATTAGTGAGCGCGCGAAATATTTTGCCACGTTGCATTGCATGCTGAAGCGTGGGCGTTTCAGTGGGCGTGGCCCAAGGCAACACCTTCGGCTGCCGCGTGGCAAGTTTTGGGTAATTTATTTGCCAGCTACTACAGTTTTTGTTGTTGTTTGTTTTGTTGTTGTTGTTGTTGGCTTGCACTTTTAATATATGTGCCAACAGGCGAACTATTATTTCTGCTGTTTGTCTAAGACTTTTGAGAAAACGTGAGTGAAGACAGTTCCAGTTCGCAGAGCTTTACCCGGTTTTGTGAGTTAAACATATTCATAGTTCTCACTTATGCTACTCTCTATATTGATTTGGGATTTTTGGATTCGAGCTTTGAAGCATTTAATGAAATCTAATTTATTTACTCTATTTTTTGAGGAAACAGAATATGTATACCCCTCCCTTCTTGCACATTAAAACAAATCTTGTTTATACCCTGAACACATTAAAAATGGGTAAAATGGGCTTATTGTTTTTTTGCAAATGTATGTAACAGGCAGAAGGTAGCATCTCCGACACCATAAAGTGTATTCTAAGTAATCAATAGCCGAGTCTGTCTCTATGGTTTTAATGGCTAGAATTACCAAATTTGAAGCTTATAGAATAGTATATACATTTGGTGTTTGTATGAAAAGGTTCAGGCTATCCCCTAGTCGGGCACTCCCGACCAAATACCTCTCACTTGTTTCAACTTAGTCTCTGTGTAATTAAATAGAAGAATATTTGCAATTCGAAATATAAATGATTATTTCCACATTATATGAATAATATTTATTTAATTGAGCATAAGAAAATAAATATATACAATTTCTTAAATTAATA